TAAGGCATCAATGAACACTGTTGAACAAGTATCTGTGGTCTAGGATGCCCAGTTCTTTGCTCATATGTCAATGAGTAGTACAGCTGGGCCATATGGTAAATGAATTTTTAGTCTTTTGAAGATTCTCTATCCTGTTTTCCAGAGTGGCTACACCAGTTCACATTCCTACCAAGAATAAATGAGAGTTCTGCTTTCTCCACAACCTGGACAGCATTTGTTGTCATTTTTCTTGTTGATTTTAGGCATGCTGCCTGGGGTGACATGAAATGTCAATGTTGTTTTAGCTTGAATTTTTCTCATTGCTTAGTATGATGAAAACTTTTCAATATTTTATTAGCAATTTTTACTTACGCTCTTGAGGACTCTCTGTTTAGGTCTCAGTCCCATTTTTCAAATGGTGATTTGGCTTTTGGACTCTTTGTTTTTGAAATTCTTTATATATTCTTAGTATTAATCCTCTGTCAGGTGTATAACTGGCAAAGATTCTCTCCTATTCTGTGGGTTTCTTCTTTACTTGGCTGATTACTTCTTTATCTGTGCAGAAGCTTTTTGTTTTTATTTTCAAAACAAGTTTTTTTTCTATGTAGCTTTGTAGCTTGTCTTGGAACTCAGTTTGTAGGCAAGGCTGGCCTTTTACTCACAGAGAACCACCTGCCTCTGCCTCCCAAGTGCTGGGATTAAGGACATGTGCCACCACTGCCTGGCTAAGGTTTTTAGTTTTATGAAGACCCAGTTATCATTTGTTTGCCTCAGTTCCTTAGCAAATGGAGTCCTGTCCACACAGTCTCTCTTATCTGTAGTTCCTAGTCCCAAATTCTCAGATGTGCATATACAACATGGAATAACCACAAACCAGAAAAGTATAGAGAGACCATATCTTGGGAGGCTTGAGAGGGAAAAGCAGGACAGATATGATATGAAGTGGGAAATGGAATAATGGGGAGTAGATCTGACTGTGGTGCAGGATAGAAAGCCAATACAGAAGGAAGGGAAGGGACAAGGGACAAATGATAGGTTGTTTGTTAAGGCCTTAAGGAGTTGTATAATTTTGTATTTCCTTGAAATTTTACATGATACATGAATATATATATATGTATATGTACATATGCATATATATTAATGTACTCATATACATTTATATACATCTGTATGTATATAAAATATACCCATATATATATATGTACATCTTAAAGAAGTTAAACCACTTGGGCTGACAGTAATCACCACAGAACCAGTTCCTGACATGAGAAAACCTCCTTTGAATGATTAGTCAGGGTAATCTCTGTGACTCCCAAAACAATACAGGTTATAGATGTAACCATTGATCATTTCTTAGTGGTTGATGGTTGGTCCCTATTGCTGAAGACACTTCACATTTAGGACAAATGACTCAGATGATTTGTGCTTGATCTTATTATCTCTTTCCTGTGGTATGGCTCACATGGGTTCTAGAAAATACTATAGAAACTGCCAAGGGAAGGAAGCAACCAAACAGTCCTACCAAGCTTTAATACTTATGAGTCATTTTAAAAAGAAAATCTAAACAGTCATATTTCAAATTATGGATGCTATGCACTCCTGATAATAATGCAAATCTGACAGAGGTTCAATTCAAGAGGAAATAAGTTCAATGACACTTAATTGAAATTTTTTCATGAGGGGTCAGTCAGTCACAGAGAGAGAATCAGGGCAAAGGCATGGAAGAAGAGTGAAGGCATGACCAAGGAATGGTAACCAAGGCATTGGGAAAGGGACAAACGAGACATTTGTAACTGTACATTTTCTCTTGCACCAGATGGTCCCGTGGTCCTTGAGCCCCAAATAAGCACACAGATGCTATATTAATTATAAAACTATTGGTTGATGAGTAAGGCTTCTTACTGGCTAGCTCTGTCTTAATTAACCCATTTCTATTAATCTAAGTATTTCCACATGGTTTGATCTTACTGGAGAAGGGTTTGGCATGTCCTACCCTCCCTGGTCACATGGGGTCTGCTGTCTGCCCACACTTCCTGGAATTCTCCTTATCTCCTAGTCCCACCTATCTCCCTGCCTCTGTGTTTTATTCATCAACCAATAAGAGAAACATACACAGAAGGACTTTCCCCATCATCTCCTCTTTTCTGTCTAAATAAAATGAAGGGATTAGCCTTTAACATAGTAAAATCATGTATGACAAAACAGTTATCTGGCAAGAACTATAGTTAACAATATTTAGTCCATTAACATTTGGTAAAATTTAAAGAAAATATACTATCTTCTATCCTATGTTGTGAGTCTAAAGTCTTACATGTAACTTATCTTTTATCATAACTAAGGAAAACCCTAACCATAACTATCTGTCTTCAACTCCATCAAAGACTACAGAAGGATAATATATCAACTCTAGTACTGATAGAGACATCTCATTGCCTGAGCAGTCAGTCAAAGTTCCTTTGTAATGTTGGAGCATCAATCTTCAGCCCATTCCTAGAGTATCTTTCAGAATTCTCAGTGATGCAGAAAATTTCAAACTGTCCATCTGTATTGGCAGTTTGTCAGTGATTTTTCTGTGTCCTGCAGAATGTATGGAAGACTCTTCCATGAAGTAGGAACCCTTCAGAACTGTTCTGTTTTGGCAAATTCAGTGGTCACTTTCCTGTGGGTCCTATATGTCAAGTTTAGAAAGCATACAGTCAAACAGTCCAGGCAAGAGCAGTTTCTTGCCCAAATGCTAGTCTTGATATGAAATGCAAACTCCATAATGAGCCTCTTCAATGCCCATCTTCATTTCTGATGTAATTGTTATTTCCAGGATCAGTTATGTCTCACTGTCATGAAAAACCCTATATCATTTTAAATGCCATATTCTATAGGTCTTTGAAATGTTTGAAGACTATCTATCTCAAATATATCTCTGTATATCTAGAAAACCTAACTAACCTAACTATAAGTTTGGCTATTATTGTTGACTATATATAATCTGTATTTAATTATATATTACATTTTTAAAAGATCTATATAAACACAATACCTAAACAAGAGGAGAAATATATATATAACAAAATTGACCTTAAATTTGTATCAATAAGACAAAATCCATATAATTCAAAGTATTCATTTTTATATCAGAATTCCCCTTTTTCTTTTAAAAGAGATTGGTTATGATCATTAACCATTTATAACCAACCCCATTTAAATGAAACAAACATTTATAAACAATATTTGGGAATGTGGGTGTCGTTCTCTCCAAACTGCCTCCTGCTGTTGGGGTGCGCTGTCAATACCTTGGAATCCTGTGAAAACTCAGAAATCTGGCCAAATACTGGCTGTAGTAGTCCGCAAGGCTTCATCATCCTAGGTGTCTTGGGTGTTGTATCTGCCGGGCCACTGCTCCACCAGGTCTTGCTTCATCAAACCACATTATTCTAGAAGGAGTTCATAGCTTTTCATCTTCCATTGAAACAAAAATAGAATTTCTTTTCCAAAGTAACATGTTCTTAGACTTAAATTTTGAAGTCAAAGCATTTTTAAAATATATAAGTTGGATTAATTCAGCAGCATTGACAATCAAATGCCTTTTAGCAGTAATTGCTCCTTCCCCAGCAATTAAACAATAGCATACAGTATCCAAACTCTCTGTGTAATTTTCATCTTGCATGCCCTTTTTATTATTGTATTTCTTATTTTTAAGGACTTTCTTTACCCTTTTTCTTTTCACTCCCAAGCCTTTGTAAACCCTCTAGAGGCTTTTCTTTCTCCCTCTGAATCTGTTTTTACTGGATATTTTTTATCTTTTTCTAATCACGAGTCAGTTATCTGCTAAACAGCAAGGGTAAAAGAGCTGTGTGGTGGTTTTTTGCCACTTATGCTGTGTCAGGAAGCCTCTCTTAAAGGAGATGCACACCTCTCATTGTCTCCAGCAAACAGAGCCCACCTGAGACAATGCTGCTACCAAGAAGCCGTGTCTCTGTTCTTTTGTTTTCAAGAATCCCTTCTTAAACTTTTGTGAGGTTCTACATGGAAATTCATGCTACACATTGAGGGAGCCATGTTGTTAGCATGAGTTTTCTGGTCTGTCAGGGTCCTGCCACTCTTTGCAGCCCCAAATAAGCATACAAATGCTATGTTACTTATAAAACTCTTGGATGGTGTCTAGGGCTTCTATTTGGCTAGCTTTGTCTTAGTTATTAACCATTAATATTAATTTACATATTTCCAGATGGTCTTGACTTACCAGAGAATGCCTGATGCATCCTATCATCCCAGGCTCACATCAGGACACCTCCACTTCCCAGATTTCTCCTCGCCTAGTAGGCCCTCCTATCTTTCCTGCATGGCCACTAGCCACACAGTGTTCTATTCATCAACCAATAAGAGAAACATACACACAGAAGGACAACCCCATCAGACATTATCTTTCCACCTTCAAGTGTGCTTGGATGTTAATATATGAAATCTGACCTTATTATTTCAATGCTGAAAATGGCAGATACTTGAAGTTCCAGACTCAAATTAGGGCATGGGGATTTAGAATTGGCAGTCTTAAAGAATCATATTTGTTTACTATGCAATTTATATAAGGAGCATTTTAAAATTATACATACATTCTAAAATGTGAGGATATTAAAGTAAACTGGAATTGTGGGAATTTCAATTAATTTCTCTTAACATTTAGAAAACAACTTGTAAAATAATGACATTTCTATAGCATTTCTTTTAATCTTTATCTAGTTCAATGACTGAAGAAATCTTGACCTTCCCTGCACTGCTTTGGGCCTTTTTTGGAAGGAGAGGTTTGTCTACAGTGCAAGCTGTCCTAGTCCCAAGTACTTTGATCACAAGGGTTACACATAAGGCAGCTTTATGGCGCTGCAGTCAGTTATTGTTTAACAAGCCCATTTCACCCAATTTCTACAAACAAGAATTTTCTCAACCAATTGAACAAGTTTATGAAAATGGTCCACACAGATAAAGGCCAAGTTGATTTTCAAAGCAAATTTTTCTGATCAAGGACTCACTCAACTACTACACCAGACTGTTTCCTGCTCTCCAGGATTTCCCGAAGAACCTCTTTCTCCACCTTCTTCCTCAGGAGTGTCCTGCATGGCTTTCTGCAGCAGAATCTTCAGAGTCTTCCGTTGCAGCTTTCGGTGCCTAATGGAGCCCACAAGGAAGTAAATGATGGGGTTGGCACTGCTGTTAACACAGGATAGGAAAGTTGTCATTCCATAACCACCACAAGGAAAAATTATATGCAACTCCACAATCCAATCTAAGATGAACAAATAGATAGCATAGGGCAGACCAAAGAGTAAGAAGACCAGCACTGTCACTGCAATGGTCACATACAATCTGGTCACAGGAATCCTCTGTGAACCACAGCAGATCCTGACCAAGAGGGCCAGGTTGGATCCACATGGAGCCACAAATAATACTATTACAAATACAGCCATGATAAAACTATAAGTCCTACAGGAAGAATAGTCATAATAACTAAGCAGTAAGCCACAGCCTTCCCCTAACAGGAGGCTTAACAGTAGAGAGAGGGCCCAGAGCAGGGCACACATAATAGATGATGTGTGTCTTGGTCATTTGCAGTGATACCAGGTGGGCTACAAAACAGACAGAGAGCGCTCAACACTGATGGTTGCAATCATACACACACCTGCAAGGTAAGCAAAGATTAATACATTGAAGAGAAAGATGGGAATATCAAAGTAGCTGATATGGAACCGTAAAAGGATATAATCCAGGGACCACACAGTCTGAAAGCAAAGGTAGAGGAAGTCAGCCCCAGCAAGGTTGAGGACATAGACAGAGAAGGCATTCCTGTGCATTTGGACTCCCAGAAGCCACAACACAATGGCATTTCCTGCCAGTCCAACCACAGCAATGGTGACAGTGAGAATACTCAGGATATTGGCCATGTTGGTACAGAATACATTTTCAATGTAGTCACTTTCATTCATTGTTGTTTTTTCAGTGCTCCAGATTAGTGTAGTTAGATTCATGCTCGGGAATTTTCCACTGGTGTTCCTACAAAGTAAATTGAGATATGAACTCATGATGCTTTCTGTCAAGTCCACCTGGCTATGCAGGAATGTCTGGCATAGGTTCATAAGGATGGAAAAATAGGCTTGCAGAGATTAAGTAATTTATCAAATCCCAAAGGTGCTAGAAATTTCTTTTAAATCCAGTTTGCCCTATGCAGTCTATCTGCAGACTGCTGCCTCTAGTGATAGTGGGGTAGTTGGTGACTGCAGAACAGTTGCTAAACATCTTATGCTATGTCAGGAAGAGACAGAATTCTGACACTAACTTTCTTTCTGTTCCAGGGCTGAGGTTCCTTCTCAAGTGTAGGAATAAGAAAAGCCTGGCACAAGCCATAGCTGCCCTCAGTCACTGTAAGGGTCTATCAAATGGGAAAAATGGAATCATGAATGAGAGTCATGATGGGAATGGCACTTCTTATGAAGACCTGTGTGTCAATAGTCACATTTCTTATGCTAGAAGGGCTGAGTCCCCATTTTATAATTTGAAAAAAGCAGATAAGCCTTGAAGGGCCTCAAGCCCTTTTCTGTTTGTTATTATGTCACCAGTGTCCTACTGTCTACACTGTTTCAGGGGAGAGTTAAGATCACCACCCTGGGAGTCCAGACATACCTCACTCTTTGTTCCTCCTCTGCTCTCTGCTATCTTCCTGCCAACTGAGGTGAGTCTTGGTCCTGCTCTGTCTCCAAGTTCCCCCATCAGCCCTTGGTGGCTACTTCCTGAGCCTCCCCCTGGACTAGAGTGGACCTGCCCAGACAGGAAGGCCCACCCTGAGTCTGGCCACACCTCACCCTTCCCCCCCATGCCCTCTGCCCTTTGCCTGCCACATGAGAGAGGGAGAGACCCCGCCTGTACCCACTGGAAGAAGGGATGCGAAGACGACAGAATAAGAACACAACAGAAAGACCAATATGACACCACCAGAATCTAGGGACTCCACACCAACAAGAACTGAGAAGCACAACGCACAGGAAGAAGAAGAAATGGACCTTAAAAATTATCTTATGAAGATGATAGAGACCATTAAGAGGAAACAAGAAAGTCTCTTAGAGAAATAGAAGGAAAAAACAAGCAAAAAATTACATGAAATGGAAGAAAAGACAAAGCAAATATTCTAGAAGTAAACAAATCTCTTAAAGGATCTAAAGAAAGCCAAGAAAAAACAAACAAAAGAAGGAAATAATTCAAACAGTCCACAGTTTAAAAGCACAATTAGAAACAGTAAAGAAAATGCCAGGCATTGGTGGCACACACCTTTAATCTCAGCACTCAGGAGGCAGAGGCAGTCGGATCACTGTGAGTTTGAGGCCAGCCTGGGTCTCCAGAATGAGTGCCAGGATAGGTTCCAAATCTACACAGAGAAACCCTGTCTTGAAAAACAAAAACAAAAACAAAAACAAAAAAACCAGTAAGGAAAACACATAATGAGGGATGCTGGAAATAGAAAAGCTGGGTAAATGATCAGGAACCACTGATGTAAGCATAACCATTATAATCCAAGAGATGGAACAGAGAATCTCAGGTGTTGAAGACTCACTAGAGGATATACAGTCATAGACCAAAGAAAACCTCAAGTCCAACAAGTCCCTAAAACAAAATATCCTGGAAATACAGGACACCGTGGAAAGACCAAACCTAAGAATAATATGTATAGAAGAAGGTGAAGAAATTCAGCACAAAGGTACAGATAACATATTCAACAAAATCATAGAACTAAACTTCCCCAAGGATGTGCCTATGAAAGTACAAGAAGCTTACAGAACACCAAATAGATTGGACTTCAAAATGAAGTCTCCCCACTACATAATATTCAAAACACCAAACTTATAGAATAAAGAAAAAACATTAAGAGCAGCAAAAGAAAAAGGCCAAGTAACATATGAGGGCAGACCTATCGGAATCATACCCGACTTATCATCAGAAACTGAAAGACAGAAGATCCTCTATAGAAGTTCTACAAACACTAAGGGGACATGGATGCAAGCCTAGACTACTGTATCCAGCAAAGCTATCAATCACTATAGATGGAGAAAACAAATATTCCATGACAAAACATGATTTAAGCAATACATATCCACAAATCCAGCCCTACAGAAATTACTAGAAGGGAAACTCCAACCCAACAAGATAACTATGTTAAAAAAAACATAGGCAATAGGTAATCCCACTTTACCAAACACCAAAATAAAAAAGGGGGGGAATCCTCACATAATAACACCACCACCAACAAATCCAAACCAAACAAGAATCAACAATCAATGGTAATTAATATCACTCAGTATCAATTGTCTTAACTTGCCTTTAAAAAGATACAGGCTAACAGAATAGATATGAAGACAAAATCCAACCTTCTGCTGCATAAAAGAAACACATCTCAGCTTCAAAAACAGATTGTACCTGAGAGTAAAGGGTTGGGAAAAGATTTTTCAATCAAATATACCTAAGAAACAAGCTGGTATAGCAATCCTAATATCTAACAAATTAGACTTCAAACTAAAATCAGTCAAGAGAGATGAAGAAAGGCACTTCATACTCACCACAGGAAATGTCCATCAAGATGAAGTCTTAATCTTGAACATCTATGCCCCAAATACGAAGGTAGCCACATTTGTAAAAGAAACATTATTAAAGCCCAAATCACACATAAAACCTCACACACCTAAAGCAGGTGACTTCTACACCCTGCTATCACCATTAGATAGGACCACCAGACATAAACTTAAGAAAGAAACAAAAGTACTAACAGAAGTTATGACCCAGTTGGGATTAACAGACATCTACAGGGCCATATGGAACGTTCTCTAAATTGACCACATACTCGGCAAGGTAGAAAACCTATGCAGGTACAAAAACATCAGAATAACACCTTGTATCTCATCAGACCACCATGCTTTAAAGTTAGAATTCAACAACAACACAAATGCAGAAACCCTACCAATCATGGAAATTGAATAATGCACAATTGCACCATTCCTGGTCAAGAATGAAATAAAAAAGAAATTAAAGACTTCCTAGAATTTAATGAGAATGAAGACACAACATACCCAAATCTATGGGACATTTTGAAAGCAGTGCTAAGAGGAAAGTTCATAGCACTAAGTGCCCACATGTAGGAACTGGAGAATAATCACACTAGAGAATTAACAGCACAAATGGAACCTCTATAATAAAAGGAATCAAACTCTCCCCAGAGGAGTAGATGCCAGAAAATAATCAACCTGAGGGCTGAAATCAATAAAGTAGAAACTAGGAAAACACTACAAAGACTCCATGAAACAAAGAGTTGGTTCTTTGAGAGGCAACAAGACAGACAAACCTTTAAACAAAAAAAAGGCAGAGAGATATCTTGCTAATTAACAAAATCAGAAATGAAAAGGGGGTCATAACAACAGACACTGAGGAAATCCAGAGAATCATCAGATAATACTTTGAAAACCTGTAAACACCAAAAGTAGAAAATCTAAAGGAAATGGACAATTCTCTGGATTGATATCACTTACCAAAATTAATTCAAGAACAGATAAGCAATTTAAACAGACCTATAACACCTAATGAAATAGAAGCCGTCATCAAAAGTCTACTAAGCAAAAAAAGCACAGGGCCAAATGGTTTCAATGCAGAATTCTACCAGACATTCAAAGAAGAGCTCATACCAGCACTCCTCAAATTGTTCCAAACAATAGCAGCAGAAGGGACATTGCCAAGCTCTTTCTATGAGGCTACAATTACCTTGGTACCCAAGCCGCACAAAGACACAACTAAAAATGAGAACTACATGCCTCATGAACATCATGTGAAAATATTCAACAAAATATTGGCGAATCAAATCTAAAAACACATCAGAGAAATCATCCACAATGATCAAGTTGGCTTTATCCCAGGCATGCAGGGATGATTCAACATATGAAAATCCGTCAATGTAATCCACCATATAAACAAACTGAAAAAGAAAAACCACATGATCATCTCACTAGATGTAGAAAAAGCGTTTGAGAAAATCCAACATCCCTTCATGATAAAGATCTTGGAGAGATCAGGGATAACAGGAACATACCTAAACATGAGAAAAGAAACATACAGCAAACCAAAAGCCAACATCAAACTAAATGGAGAGAAAATCTAAGTGATTCCTCTAAAATCAGCAACAAGACAAGGCTGCCCACTCTCCCCATATCTCTTCAATGTTGTCCTTGAAGTTCTAGCTAGAGCAATAAGACAACAAAAGGAGATCAAGGGGATACAAATTGGAAAGGAAGAAGTCAAACTCTTGCTATTTGCAGATGATATGATAGTTTATATATGTGACCTGAAAAACTCTACCAGAGAACTCCTACAGCTGATAAACACCTTCAGCAAAGTGGCAAGATACAAGATTAACTCAAAAATTCAGTAGCCCTACTATATACAGATGATAAATGCACAGAGAAAGAAGTCAGAGACAAATCACCCTTTACAATAGCAACTAACAACATAAAATATCTTGGGGTAAAACTAACCAAAAATGAGAATGACCTGTATAGTAAGAACTTTGAGTCTTTAAAGAAAGAAATTAAAGAAGAGATACCAGAAAATGGAAAGATCTCCCATGCTCTTGCATAGGAGGGATCAGCATAGTAAAAATGGCAATCTTGCTAAAAGCAATTTACAGATTCAATGCAATTCCCATCAAAATGCCAACACAATTCTTTACAGACCTCGAAAGAACAGTACTCAACTTCATATGGAGAAACAAAAGCCAAAACAACCCTGTACAATAGAGGAACTTCTGGAGGCATCACCATCCCTGACATCAAGCTTTATTATAGATCCATACTCCTGAAAACAGCTTGGTATTCATACAAAAATAGACAGGTTGACCAAAGGAATTGAATTGAAAACCGTGATATCAATCCACACACCTATGAACACCCGATTTTTGACAAAGAAGCTAAAATTATACATTAGAAAAAAGAAAGCATCT